TGAAACTCACTCAGTGCATACAAACACACACATACTCAACGTATAACCACGGCCCCAGTGGTTTCATAGTGAAGTGAGAGAGCGTGCTACAACGGGCCGCTAAACCTCCGGAGGCCTTGTATGACCCGCAGTGCGTGACGACCGTCCGTGCACCTCATACATCACTGTCCGCACACGTGCATGTGTGTGTGTGTCGGGAATGGTCCTGCATACGTGTGTACTTTAACAATTGGGCGGAATTGTCGACAAAGCAGCGAGGCTGTGACATTGAGACCAAAGGTCTCTCACTCTCTCTCTCTCTCTCTCTCACTCTCACTTTCTGTCTCTCTCCCTGACAGGAAGTCAGCTGGAAGTGTTTCATGTATTAACAGTAACAGTAAGAGTAAGTGATAATAATGTTGTGGATGATCCTGTAGTGTCAATCATGAGCTCCTAGTCTTCTGTAGAACGTGACATGACATCAGTTCTTGATCACATGTTGACACAAAGCTGAAGAAAATAGAAGTAGAATGAACGTGATTGGCTGAATAATGTAACTGACAGCTGGATCATCACTAACAGTGACCAATGGTATTCAACCTCCCACTGTTTTTTGTCTTTCTAACCACATGTGATGACAGTTTTACATAACAGACCTGGAGTCACTGCTGCTCCAGTTTAGAGGAGAACGTATACAAATATGTCACTTCTGCATCGTCCACCTCGAAGGACAATCCTTTGATTTGATAAGAAGAATAAGATAAACTCCTCTCCGCTCATTGTTTCCTCACCCTGCCCTCCTCCCACTGCTGCCTTTTCCTCCCCCTCCTTCTCCCTTGGGACTGTTGAAGTCAGAAGGATTGGTTGCGGAACAACAAGCGTCCCTGAGAATTCCGATTGGCTCCCTCTGCTCCCGGTGTAACCTGTTAAATTCATCCATCACCGCTCCGTAGCCCAGCCTCTCTATCCCATCACCACTTTTCCTCCTCCTCCTCCTTCTGCCTCTCAGCTACTTCTGCCTAGTGAGCCTGTAAGAGAGAAAGGAGATTATCAGTCACATTGAAGCCATGTGGGCTGCAGCGCTCATCTTCAGGATACAGAGGGAGAGAGAAACCGCAGTTTAGGATACAGAGGGAGAGAGAAACCGCAGCGTCAGTTCAATTCTGAAGGATTTCCTCAAACACCTCATTTCAATTGAAGTCATATTTGTTGATAGCTATGTTTTTTAAATGTTGTTTCTTATCACAGAGGTGGATTTTTTTGACTGGCAGGCTTTTATTGTTTGCTCTTAACTAGATTTGTTCCAGCTCATCTTTTTTTTTTTTTTTTTTTTAAAGTACGTATTGGCTCCTTGCTGTTGTACTTTGTTTACTCGTGATTCAGATTTGATTGTCAACGCTTGTTTTGAGCGTCCAAAGCCAAACAAACAATCCCCCAATGCCGAGCTGCGACTGGCACAACATTAAAAGAGCGAAAAGGCGATCGCGTAGACGGGAAGTGGAGAAGGAAACATGTCAGAAGGGAACTCTGTTTACGGCTGCTCTCGGTTTAAATGTCAGCGCCGGTTCAATTCCCTCCCTACCGGTTTCTGGCAGGACCCCAGACCCCAGAGGCTCGAGAACCTTTCTCAAAAGAGCACCGGCTCCTAACAAACCCACATCCCCTGCTTCAACCTTCTGGCAACCAATCAGATCTTTTGCCATTTCACAGCTCACTTCTCTGGTGCGACGGGCGACGCTGAAGGAGAGTGACTTGGCGCCCAAGTACGAGAAGGTCCACAACTTCAAGGTGAGGGACTTTGTCTTTCTGCGTGTGTTCGTGCATGTAAGTCTGTGTGTGCGTGTGTGCGTGCGTGCATGATGGTTCATTTAAATAAGGTCAAGTGAGCTGAATCAGCAAATCCTGACACAAACAAACACACACACACACACACACACACACACACACAGTTCTTGATTTACATGTCGAGGGCTCAACCTTCATTAGCCTCAAATTGCCACATTTCCATATCACCACCACCAGCCATTAGTGACACAACACAAAGGTCAGGGCACACTTTATGAGCTCGGGGGAAATGTGAATACACACACACACACACACACACCAAAAATACACAAAGCCCTTTGATGTGACAGAGGTCATTAGCATTTCCGTATATAGAACTAATTTATGCAGCAAAAGCCGATTTCAACTGTGCTCTCACTGCATTTTTTATAAGCCCCCTTCAGCACCTCCATTATAGCTGCACCATTATTTTTCCAGCACCAATAAACACTGGTATTTAGTAATTATTGTCGTTACCAGGTCGCGTAATCAGCACATTAAACACTTTGTTTGAATTGTTCTCTTAACTCATGTATCTGAAGGAAAGAAATGGTTGTTTTAAACTTTGTGATTTCCCCCATCTCCAGGTTCATACCTTCAGGGGCCCTCACTGGTGTGAGTACTGCGCCAACTTCATGTGGGGTCTCATCGCGCAGGGAGTCAAGTGTGCAGGTAACAGCCAAAAAAAAACAAAACAGTCACACAGATTGTTTTTCTTTGACTATTCCATTTCCTTATTGGTGAAATATCGCTAACTTTTTCTGTTTAACTCATCAACATCTATCTCAGCATTTTAATGTTGAAAATTGTGTCAGTGAAGGCTCAGCTGATGTGGGTGAGACACAGCGTTATCCCTCTATAAATATCAGCTGGTTCTTTAAGGTTGAGTTTGAAGCATCCGTGGTATTGACCTACACACGGTTGGAATAGAGGCAACAAGGCATAAGTTAATGTTTTCCAATGACATGTTGACTGATGAAACAAATTCTACACAGTCTTTGGAGTAGAGTTTGTTCCGACAAGGTTTTCAAAAACTTCTCAACAGTCCTGGTCATTAATTTCTGCTTCTGTTGTTTGACCCATGACCCTTCTTGCTTCCATACACCCACATATAACAAAAATAAACTTTGTCAAGAAAACACTTCTTTGAAGGTATTTAGAATTATTACATTTGAGTTCATTTAAGCATTCTGGACTCTGTCTCCATCTTTTTTGGAAATTGATTTAGAACTTGACTTGCTGCGGGGCAATTCAAAGTGCAGATGCCCCTTTTTATGAAGCAGATGCTCATTTAAAATACAGTGGAAATGCTGCTTCATAGTGTTTGCACAACTGTTCAGTATTCAAAGAAATTCAAGAAAGAGAGAAAAAAATCTATAAACCATGCAAATTCTTGTCATTTACCACCATTACCAAAGTATGAGTCTCTCCATGGAGCTGAATGCATTCAGAAACATTATAATGTACTAGCATTACATTTTTTAAAATGTTACTCCCCCACAAAACTACAGAGACATTTTTTTTTCTTTGTCAGACTGTGGCTTGAATGTCCACAAGCAGTGCTCCAAAGTGGTTCCTAACGACTGTCAGCCAGACCTGCGCCATGTCAAGAAGGTGTACAGCTGCGACCTGACCACTCTCGTCAAAGCCCACAACACCAAGAGACCCATGGTGGTCGATATGTGTATACAGGAAATCGAGCAAAGAGGTGAGATCAGTGAATGTTGGTGTGAGGATTTGTTAGTAGTTACTAAGCTAACGATCTTATCCAGATGGCATACAAAATCATCTTGAATTTAAAACTTTTTGTCCTTTAGGTGTTCAGTCAGAGGGCTTGTACAGAATATCAGGCTTCAGTGAGCTTATCGAAGACGTCAAGCTGGCGTTCGACAGAGGTGGGTGGCCGAGCGAACAGACACTCAGACAAACTCATCGTCTCCTGACGTTCTGACTGATGTTTTAAACCCACAGATGGAGAGAAGGTTGATATTTCTTCGAGTGCTTACGAGGACATTAATATCATCACTGGAGCTCTAAAGCTCTACTTCAGGGAGCTGCCCATCCCGCTCATCACATATGACGCCTACCCACGCTTCATAGATACAGCTAGTAGGTCTAGAGTGTTTATACTTGCAAGAATTATGCAAATAAATTCAATAAGTCCAATGCAGATGTTTTAAGTCAAGACTTCAGACAAATCTTTGTTTAGAGGTTGCACACACTATTTTTTTTACAGAAATTACTGACCCAGAAAAACGGCTGGAGTCTCTCCACGAGGCCTTGAAACTGCTGCCGCCAGCTCACTGCGAGACTCTGCGATACCTCATGGCTCACCTCAAAAGGTCTGACTTTCTCAGTAGAATGATTTGATTACTGTATTTGGATTCATACGTTCAACTACGCGCCAGGTTATAATGATTTCAACCCCTTCACCTTTGCCTCTACCAAGGGTTATCCAAAGTGAGAAGGAGAACCTGATGTCCAGTGAGAACCTGGGCATCGTCTTTGGCCCCACGCTGATGAGGTCGCCCGACCTGGACGCCATGACGGCCCTCAACGACATCAGATACCAGAGACTGGTGGTGGAGATGCTCATTACCAACGAAGACGTGCTGTTCTGAGGGGAACAGAGGAACGCGGACATTCTTCTTCTGATGACGGAGGAGGACATATGTTCATACAAGTATGCACTAACCTCCTTTGGGAGACGGAGAAGAGAGAAAAAAATCATTACCTCTTTTAAAAATGAAGGTTGGACGTTGCAAAAATGAATGACTAACGTGGGCAGTGAAGGAGTAACTGAATGAAGGAGGAACAATTCAGCATTTCCATACATTTCTAATGAAGTGCAACACAACAAATTAACACACTTGAAGCTTGATAAATTATAATATTTCACTGGTAGAAGAATGGATGTTTCTGTCATACATGTGGGGATGATACAAGAAGAAAAGTTTCATATCTTCTCATCTTAAATAGAGGCCTTGACAGTTTTTTGTTTTTGCTGTTGCTCTACTCCATCATGCCTTTTTGTTTTGGTCAAGCTCATGATCACATAGGTTTTGTAAAATCCTTGCCTGGCGTTGGAGAAAACGGCCACAAGGTGATTAGAAAGTGCCCTCTAGTGGTCACACGCGTTGTGACAGTTGATGAATGAAGGCTTCAATGAAGGAATGAAAGAACAAACAAAGTAACCGATGTGAATGGACCTATGACGTTATTTTTTCTCATCACTCCATCAACTGATGTGTAGGTAAACACTAAGATGTATAGAATATATTAGTCGCTATCATAAAAAAACGTTCCTTGACCTTTTTTTTTTTTGATGTCACAACACTTGAAATGTTTGCCACTGGAGGTCGACGAGTACTTACCCTCAGCACTGGAGCAGTAATTGGACTCTCTTTATTTTGTGGCTGTTTTGAACCAGTTCTTCTTTGCACATCTGTCAACTAAAATCAGTATTAAAATCATTAAGAGGCCTTAGTATTTTATTGATATGAGGTGAATATGAACGTTTTACACACTCCTGTGAAAATGCCTGGTTGTTTAATTTTTACGATTTTTTCATCTCTAATGCTTTTTTTTTTTTTTCAAAAACATAGCATGTTAACAAATACAGCATTTTTTACTTCTTTCATTGATTCAAATCATTGCTTTAATTTTTTATTTTTTTCATCTCCTTTACAGATGCTAACAGTAGTTTTTCAGCTATTGAATTTTAGAGTAAAGTGGCAGTTCTAGCTGGAGAAAATCAGACCCAACACAGTCCTGAATTCTACTTTTGTTTTTTTGAGATATATTTTTAGAGACGGGGCCAAAATGTTGGCACGCCACTTCTCCCACATCACTCTCTTCGACTGGCTTAAATATAACTTTTTGTTTACTTGTAGGAAGCAATCTAGACATGTAGCTCTACAATATGGCAATGGGAGCCTTTCCCACTCACCAGACGATGTTGAAGTTTTTGAAAATTTACCATTTTCATTGCATTCTATGGTAATTTGGAGGTCTTGAAATTTAGAATCTGACCTTCTCCAAAGAGTTACCTTTAAAAGACAATTACGTAACGTCTCTGCCGACCTTAGCTTTGCTATGAGATGCAACATGTCAAGAAAAGGCAAGAAAATGTTACTACAACAGCAGAACTTAAAAAATTTACTCATTTCAAATATGCAAAACAGTGTTATGTTGTGAATTTTGCTCGTCCCTTTTCCAAAGCAGTATTTGTACTTGATCAGTATTATAACACAGACGCAGACTAAAAAAACAGATTGATTTGAGTGTTGTTGTTTTTTTGTTTGTTTGTTTGTTTAGTAAGTATTAAATACCACATTATGCAGCAATTAAATGTTATCTCCCCTCAAAAAAACGAATCAATTTCAGTATAACAACAGCACATAGTGGAAAAGTTGAACATTTGGGGGATTTTGCTCACAGATGGTGAAGTATTTGATTTTGTCATGATAACATCATTACATTATTGGAGCAGGTTTTGCCAGGATGTACTAGTACATTTGCACGTGGGGTGTACAACGGAAGCCATGGGTATACAAAGTCACCACTAGATGTCACTTAAACTCTCATCTGCTAAACTTTTTCAATTGTAACGGTTTTCAAATTTTCAAATTTAATGTGCTGGTTGACTGAGCCACATTTGTGGGACTCCAGCTGTGACAGTCATTTGAACTGTGAAATACTGAGATATAAAATAGCTTTCTCATCAACACTGAAGGCCAGTTATAGTTGCTGTATATATGGTTTTGACTTTGACTCTGCCTTCAACAGACGGTGGAGTTGTCATTACAGTCCTAGTTTAATTCTCAAAGCTGTACATTTTTTGGGAAGGTGTTGCTAATATCTGTGAACATTCTCATTCATTTAAGTAATTTTGGTATAAGGTTTAAAGTAACCAACTTGTCTTGCTCAAGTTGCTTAGAAGACATTTTAGCTCCTCTCCCAGGTGCTACATGGCTTCTGCCTGCTGCACCTGGTGTTTAGCCTCTGAACAGTGTGTAATCAGGTTTTGACAAAAATTGATATCTGGGTTTAAGGAGTGAAAAGATACCTTGACGTCAAGTGAAACATCTTCAAGAAACTTCAGAACTTTTTTACACTGGTGCCAAATGGAATGGGCAGGAGTGAAATCTTCCTCCTCATTTAAAACAAACAGACAAACAACTATCCTTCATTTACTTTCACCCCCATTTCTGTCGGGGGACCTGCCAAAATACACTAGACATTCTTCATTCATGAAAAGATGGTCAAATCCATCACTGCCAACTAAATCAGTGAAGACATGCTGTGATTGTCAGAGTCAAAGGCATCAGGTTAGATGTGATACATGATGACTGTCAGCAATGCCTCAGTTGATCACACATCTCTTCGTTGTTTTGCTGTTGTTTCCTGTCTGTTCCTTTCATCATCAGTACTAACTGTCATCGATCACAAATGCTAAGACTTCCTTGACGTGATATCATTGCTGTAAAAGGATTTTCTATGTGGTTCATGCATGGTGGAAATAAATTATTAAATATATTGCTTTCAGTCTGAATTCATTCTAAAGTTCCTTATTTTTCGTATAATTCCATGTGTTTCAGCATGTACAAATACTAAAGGCCTTAAGCTTTTGCATTTCTTAAAAGTATTTTTTTTTTAGTTCTAGAAGAAAAATGAAAAACATATGAAATCACTCTGTTCTTTTGTGCTAGGCTTGATATACTGTAACAATCAAAGTTGTAGTTTTGTACTGTGTAAATATAGTTATGTAGGAAACAACAGCAGGTGAAAAGTCTGTGCCCCGTGTGAGGATCGAACTCACGACCTTCAGATTATGAGACTGACACGCTACCTACTGCGCTAACGAGGCACGAATATAGTAATATGTGTTTCATTTGAAAAATAAAAAACAAAAACGTCCAGCTATTTGCATTATTAATGTACTGCCTATTTTGCCTGTTTGTCGTGGCAAGGTTCCAACCATTGCACCAAGTACCAGCCATGGTTTCCTCTTCCTGTGGTAGATTCATATTCATATGATGGACAGTGTAATGTCCAACCTTTATGGCCTTGCTAACTAAAGGCACGGTGATAGTTAATACTGTGAAAGGAACACCCTGTTTAGGTTCAGGTTTCTTTGAATGACAATGTAACAACACAGGTGGTTACACCCACATGTACTGTACTAATGAAAGACATGTGGTAATGTGGTTGTAGGCCTGAGTAATTTGTATCTTGTTGACACAATAAACACTAACGGACACGACCCTTCAGCCGCAGCCGACACTCCAAGTGCAGGCAGGCAGTCTATGTCTGTTGGTCGACTACAGTCTTTGACATCAAAGGCATCAAGAGATTGAATGGTTGTGAATTTAGAAAAAAGGCAAAAGAATTATATGAAGAATGGCCAAATGATAAAAGGGATGCCAACAGCCGTGAAGAGCCAATTTTACTGCCACTGCTAACTCCTGCTAACTTAGCAAACTAAGAAAGAACAGGCAGCAAGAGAAGTGAAGTTAGGACAAAATGGACATTTCAATCTACACGCAGGCAATAATGCAACACTTCAGGCGCCGTTTGTTGTGAACCACCGAGAACAAAGTAAAGTTGGATCATCAGACAGAGAAGGACAGACAGAGAGTAATGCAACCTGCTGATGACAACAGTCTCAAGACTCTGTAAGAAGACTAGACCTGTGACTTTTAGCCTTATTTGTCTCTAGAATGGCAACGAACAAAATCAGAGACAGTAAACTGATTATGCCGCTGTTCAAGCTGGAGTACATTAAGCAAATATTCACCACACACGTGGTTAAGGCCTTCCCGTCCAGAAAGCACGTGATGAACGGCAGACATGTCAGTGCAGAGGCTGCGACTCTGCTGACTGAGGTCAGTCGTTCAGTTGTATGGGACATCAGCACCAGGGTTCAACAGACTGTGGAGCCCCAGCTTGCTTCTCACTTTGGGTCACTGTTGACAGGCATCTGGCTCAGTCACTTGAGTTACACATACGTGACAGAAGATGACGTCATGGCCAGCCTTGGAGATTCTGTTCAGCTTGGCCTTGAGGCAGCATTGGGACTCACAAGGGAGCATTCCTATGTCACCAACAAAATGCAAGAGCTGATTGCACTCGAGGTGGCGAACACGGTTAACCAGTGGCTCAACATGCTGCCAGTTAAAGGGTCCGAGGTAAAAGTCAGCCTAGTGCAACCAAAGGAACTGGTTAACCTTCTGGCGTATGCACTGACCTTAACTGCGCCCAAAGACTCAGAGCCAAGTCACAAACAAGGATCTGCACAACCTGAAAATGGCTGTGAAGCAAATAGCATTTTAGTTTTACCAGAGCTTTTAAACTACAAAGATCAGGAGGTGCTGCGGCGGGACAGGGCCTTTATAGTTTTGTTTTTTTGCGGGCTGATAAACTACATTGCAGCTGAAGCTCATACTTCCGTGTATAACGTGGACTTTGATGGTATGTTGGCAAGTTTAGGAGCAAAAACTGTGGGACAATTAACGCCTACTCTGCCGAAAAATGTCAACAAGTTCCAAATAGCAGTATACAAGAAACTGTGTATGGTGTTTGGACATGCCAAGTTCCTGCTGTGGGCCATTTCGTCCAAAGACAGTTATTTTGAGGATACTCTTGTCAGGATTTTGAAGGAACAACTGCAAATGCAAGAGAAGGGCAACTTTGTCAAGAAGGCAAGGAGGTTTTTTAATGAGAAGACAACATTTAGGTGAATGAACCTCCACCATCTGACCATGTAACCAACCAACTGGAAGATGAATCGACACTTGAAACAATTCCTTTAAAAACAATCTAGTGTCTTGACAGGCACTAAAACTTATGAAACTGTCCAAATTACAAAATAAAATGTTAATAAAAAGTTACCTGCTACTAAGATAATTCTTTTAACATTGAGTACAAATCACATGAGCTGTAAAATATGTTAACATTATTACAATTACAAAAACAAAGGCAAGTCCGAACCTCCAATACTGTTAAGATAACTTCCATCATCACCACAGCAGTTTAGTGCAGCCTTCATATTTTACTGTAGTGTTCTTTTGGGATCTAGGTCAACAAACTACAAACATAAACAATGTCTCTGATCAAAGTTTTCTATTTTTGTCTCACCAGACTAGACAGAATATTTTCAGTACGTGTCAAATGACTCCTGGTTGTCCTTCAGAGTGAGTTGCTAAGCTTTTCTTAGTCTGCAAATTCATAGTCCTTTCTTGTGTGAGAATATATTGATAATTTCTACGGTCCTCACAGTCAACACACACACACACACACAGATGAAATGTTGTTCCTCATCCTATCTCCTATCATACACAGATCAGTGTAAGACAAATACTAAACACTTGGGTGATTAGTTAACAACTCATTTGCAGTACCTCACGTAGGCCTTCTAAAATACACAATACATATATCAATTTCATGCAGATCTATAACAAATACTGACAAGATTCCCTGAATCTGAATCACCAAAGAAGTGTTAAACAGGTGTTTTGTTCCTTTTTTTGTTTTCTACCTCTGCATGTTGATCCATTTGCATTTAATTCCATGTGTCACATCTTATTTTGTACAAGGAGCCCCTTTAATTCTAAAGGGCTGAGGGAGTGTTGATAAAACATGACAAAATGTAATAACACGACTAATATTTAAAAACAAAATTGAAGACAATAAAAGGAAAACACTTAATGTTACATATTATAAACTTCATGGTATATAAAAATAACCTGTAATGATTAATTCCTATTTTAAATAGGACTTTCTTGCCTTTTAATATTATGAAGCGTGTTTCTGTTTCTCTCTCCATTTTTCTCTTTTCAAAGAAGCTCTGCAAAAAGACTTTTACTTTAACCAGCCTTTTGTGTGTCAAGAGGAGTCAGAAGTTTGACCCGCGGCCCAGTGGTTGGCGACGGTAATTTTCTGTGTTATGATATGGTCTGTTCCGCACTTCCCCGAACTACCGTAGGGTGAGGCTGCGGTGCTTGCCAGGTGGCGCTGTAGTCCCAACGCTGTCCAGTAGGCGGTGCGTGCGGACGTGTGTGTTTGTGTGCGTGTGCGCGCCCGTGTGTGCGCCTGTGCTCTTTATTGTTTCCTGAGAAAGAGATTGAGCACAGTGTTTCCTCGCATTCGTTTCAATGGCTGCCAGGCTGTTCACCAAGTCCCACCGGAGAGACGGCGGCTGCAGCTGAACACACACTGCCGGCCAGGAGGCCCTCTGTGCGGGGGTGTCAACGTCCCAAGCTCTGCAGCCACCTTGGATAATTTTGTATCCCGAAAAAGGAAAGAAAGAAAGACAGAACGGGAGCAGGGTAAGGAGAACCATGCTTTTCTGATTGGGAGAGGAGGTTCCACGTAGAGTGTGAACGTGTGTGCGCGTGTGTGCTGTGTTCAACACGTCTTTATGCTGAGATAAACAGATATGAACCACGTTAGTTTGTTCAGGAAACTGCGTGTTCCCGGGTCTTAAGTAAATAAGCTGTCGTCGATTGAAAGCAGGCTGTCCATTTCCCTAATCTGCTGATCTCCCGGGGTTTTTATTACTCCAAGCGTTGACACATTTACTTCTTTACAGTCAGTCTACGCCACATTTTTTTGTAGTTGGTCTTTATTTATTCATTAAGTCTCTCTAAAGTGCCATTGTTTCTGTCCTACTGTTGCTCGCCTTGTCAAACCCTGTCATTGTGAAATCCTTTACAGCATTACGAAATTTGAATTCATTTATAAAGTACTTTCCAAGGGCTTTTATATTTTTATATAGGACATGTATTTTAAGCAGAGCATATTGTCATACATGTGGTTTGAAAAAACACATTATTATATATATTGTATGATAAGTGTTCTTACTATACCTGTTACTTAACATAAAGAACAGACAGATTTATTGTGGCAAAGAACTGAGTAAAAACCGTTTTTGTTTCTTTCAGATATATCTGCCAAAATATGTTCAACACGGTACAAAACAATTTGAACAGAGGTAGAAAAGGAAACATTTCAAAGTCTCTCTGAACAAAGAGGACAGATGTGCTTTAATTGTGTAGCACAGGTAGGTAGGTCAAAAAGTTCCAAGATGAAAACCTACTTCTACAACCTGCCTCATCTAAGGACTGAAATTTGCTAAGAATTCAAATGTTCTTATACCTGATCTAATTAAATGTAACACCGTTTGACAAAAACATAATGATAACAATTCTCAAAGCTGTTAAAGGGCAGCTCAAAGTTATTTAAATGGGACATCTTTTGAAAATATACCATCTGTCTTTGAACCATTTGACTTTCCCTCTTTTATCCATAACCAAGTCACCACGCTCTTGGAGATCTGGTGTTACGTTTAGAGAAAAAAGCCATGGAAAGACAGGAAAGGCAAGGAGCCCAAATAAAATAATTCCCCCAAGATAACGCAGAGGTATTTTGCTGTATGAACACAAGTGTCCAAAACTGGGAATCATGTGAGGAGAGAAGGAACTATTAAGAAAGAACAACACTAGGAGATCCTGTCACTGTAAACTACAGACAAAGACTGGAGCAGACGACGAGTGTCCGTAGATTGCCTTGGCCTACGGACACCTCTGCCCTGGCTTTAAAGGATTATACTACTAACCCACATTCAGGGACTTGGACTGAAGTGCGTGTGTGTGTCTTTGAATGTTCTTAATCTTGGTGTTTCAGTGCTGCACAACACTTGTACACTGGGATTAACACCATGAGAAGTGTCACCTGACTGGTTGAAATCATTGTTCAGGGATGTATTTGTTTGTCAGCTGAGAATCAAAACTCTTGTCTTCATTAAACCTCTGCCTTTAGACCCTGTGTTTTCATTTGGTGTGAGTGGGCGAAGCAGCAGCCAAGACTGCTATTGTTTCGGCCCTACCTCATTTCACTAATGGTTGTTAGCTGGGGTCTTGGGGTCAAAGCTGCATCTGTCAAATCACTGCACAGGACACATTCACTTCTGCTGATCAATATCACCTCCAGCACAGCCTGTAGAATTGATCTTTCACAACCTCACAATAGAAATCCCTCTGAGGCCAGAGAAGCAGCTTAATGCTCCCACAATTGGGAAGTGTCACCTTGATAAAAGGTGGATTCTGGATCAGCCATCGATCTGCCTCGGGAACACAGGTGTAAGAGGTCAGTGTTGTAGCCTTGTTCTTAGCTTTACTTTAACCGTCGAAAAAACAGCTAGCACGAGTTAGTAGTCATTTCTGAATTGGATCTGAATTTTTGGAATTAATGCCGGATTAAATAGTTTCTGTAATATATTTCATCTACATTTAGCTGAAGCCTTTGACCGACATCACAGCCATAGAGACACAGCATGGCATTTTTAATAAAGACCTTAACCCTGACAGTTGCACAGCTACTATTGCTGTCCCAATGCTTTTTTTTCTCCTTCTTCTCTCTGTTGAAAGGCACACACATGAAATATAAAGTAACGAGCTTGTTTAAAAAAATAAATAAATATTGATAGAATAATAAGATAGAAGAAAATGAGTGTCTGGCCCTGAATTACTAATTCCTGATATCAAAAGTATTAAAATCCCCATTTTGTACCCTCCTCACTGTCAAACAAAGTTGATGCACTTCACATCCGATTCCCAGAGCCTGGCCTCTTCTCACAGACCCTTGGGAAACTATCAACCAACACCAGTTCAAAGGCTGGCTGAGAGGCCACGGTCCCACTGAGTTAAGGCCCTGTGGCTGGAAGCTCCCACAGTAGCTCTCTTTGTGTCTGTCTGAGCAGCTCACTCTGTATTCCACTCTTGCTCTATGTGTAATCCACTGGGCCCCAATAAGGGACACGTCTCCATCTCAACTTCCCCAATTTAAGATTTATGTAACAGGATCCTTCAACACGTGACTTGTTGATTGGAGGACATTGCAGAAGGATGCTTCCCTGTTTTCTGCAGAAAATGATTTGTTGATGTTTGTAAGGGAAAATGACACTTGGCTGTTAAGGCCAGCCCCAGGAAGGCTTAGGTCAGGCTACAAAAACTGCCCCAGAGTCCACCATTGGAGCCAATTGTGAAGCAGACAGCGTGTAAGGTTTCCCAGAATATAATCACTTCAGAGCTCCATAATAAAGTGGTGATAGCTCTCATTCATTCCAAAAGAAGCAGTGAGGAAGTGACACACAAGAACAAATTTGTTCCCACAGGTGTACACGTAACCTGAATGTCAGGACCTATTTATTTTCTTTTTTATTTCTTTTGTGCGATCATCGGGTAACTTCCTTGGCCAAGCTCCAGTTTCCAGCTTTGCCTTTTGTCACATAGGAGCAGAGAGGTGCTGGTGTTTTTGTGTGCAGGTGAAGGGATTAGGACCAGGACAATGTCTGTATGGCTGTACATTGTAGAGATTTATCCTGGCTTGGTTTTCACTCTGGGAGTTTTGGTCCCAATAAGGTTTGTCACTGGCATTGAATTAGTGCATTATTCATAGACAAACTTATCTGGCTGGACAATATAGATGAAGGTCACTGAGGAGCACATGAACTGCTCCTCTGTTAGCAGATGAGAGAAAACTCCAAAAAATGAATGTAAAACTTCAGCTTTGATCTGTAACATAATTGGCTGTAAACCATCAGATGGCGTCAAGTGTCAAATTCCTGGTCGTCTTTGTGCCATCTGATTGGTAAATTATAATCTTATGTGAACAGGTTAGTGAAGAAAACAGAAGTGGTCGGATGGATGTTATTGATTATGCCATGTGATTGATAGCTACCTTGTTGAATAGTAGTCTTGCTGTCAGGCCCAAATACTACCGAAGGGGAAGAGGTCAACAGTGTGACATTGGATATTTTAATAGAACCACATGTTTATGCTGCTATTTTATAGTCCAGTTGTCAATCACACTTGGTGACTAATCATATTCAATCTCCAATGTTCTCTCTCTTACCTTATATTTTCTTTTTTTCTGACAGCCAACAATCATCAACTGACCTAATAATACCTCAAATGGACAAATAGACTATAGAGACAATCTATAAACGGTTACTAGTTGGATGGTTAATTTAACTTTGTTAGACTTTTTATTAATATTTAGGAAGAACTGAATTTTATTGAGCCTTTTTTGAGCCACGGCACCTATACTCGCAGGAATTGAAGAAAGATGACCATTAAGATTTCTCTTAACAGCTCTGATTCTCTTTTTTTAGTTTTCATAGCCATCTGCTGCCACCTAGCAGAAGAGTATCTAACTGGTCTTTCTGTCACGCCTTAGTGAACAAAAGAAAAATGATTTGTAATAAAATAAATAATAATTTCTGGACACATTACGTGAAAGTAGATCATTTTGCACAGCTGGGAATTAATAACTCAGATTATTGCAGTGCATTTCATCCTATTCCACAAACCTTGACTAGAGTTCTACTCTTGTTCATTTGAAGAGGAGTCATTCAAATGTTCTGTCAATTGAGGTTTGTCTAATTTGAATTTAGTGTAACATATTGACAAGATGCAAATGTCCCCTGTGTAATGACGTTGTCCCTCGGGTAAAGTAAATTAAATGTATTACCTACTTAAACACACACTTTAAAATTGTGTGTTGTGTACCTGAAGCCAGCAGCAGCTTCAGAGGTACACAACCTTCAGCCCCAGTTTACCCCCTGCACCAGTCTACATTCCTCAGGCCTGATGTCATCTCAGAGGAAATTTATTGTCAGAGGTTGAGGTTTATCAAGTGAAAGAAGAGAGGTTGGGGAAGCCCGGGGTAAATGGGTTTCTGTGTGTTCTTAGGACGTATCAAATCTGCCCCACTTGTGAAGCTTCTCTTCAAGTCTGAACTGGCCTTCGCTTGAGTGTTCTTTTGTGTGTCTGTGTGTGTTTACGTTTGTGTAATCTCACTTGCATGTTCTCCAGTTGGTGTGAGTGTCACTCAGGGTGTGAGAGCAATCTGTCTGTCTACTTTGTGTCCTGTGAGCAAATTCCTTGTAGTTTCAAATTTGCAAATCCATGTTAACTTTTGCTGAAGTCTATTCATGACAGAATATGCTACATTAGCAAATATCTGTAACTAGAACGCAGACGAAAGTCATTCTATTACTAGGATAAACCTGATTCAGTTTGTAGATGTGGTCATTTGAAGGTATAATTTGTGAATAATAAATGTGGCTGTTCACAACTAATTGTGTGGATCTCCTGAGACTCTTCTGCATCTATCTGATATTATTTAGTTAGAAATCAGTCAAGGAAAGAGTAAGATATAATTAGTCTACTGTAGGAGAAACTGAGTACTGTTATGTGACTATTTTATATTTAACTTAAAAAAAAAACAACTTTTTCCATATACTGCAATCAGTCACAGATTCTCTCTTCCTTTTCACAACTTGGTGAGTAGAATGAGGAACTGACAATTAAAAGTTTGTCAGTAGTTTGTAATATTCTGTGCAGAAGTTGAACTCAACATGAGTATTAAACTAATATCACATCAAACTGGTATATAACTAGTCTCTGCCCAAAGGTTAGCAGCAGGCTGCTAACGTAGCATGGACACATCTTGAAACAGCTCTTGGTACCGCCGAGGCTGGAAAAAAAGAGGTGTCTTGTTGTGGGCATGGGCATGTTCTGCTAGATGATGTTTTAAATGTCGAATTAGGTTTGCCATTTTCAGGCATGTCGACTCCTCACAGTTAAACTTATTGTTACTCATATTACAAATAGTGAACAGCGGCTCTCTTGTTTCCTGTACTTCCAAACAAAAAAAGTACGTTGTCTCAGGGCCAATAATGATGTAAACTTGATGATTCTGGCTGGTCGACTGGTGCATCTCCAAAATAATTCAAAATTCATATAATTTGAATCAATTATGGTGGAATGTAGGTTTGATAGCAATGTCAGTTGAACCTGCTATAATTACAATGGCCCAGTGAAACCATGTATTTAATCCTCATCACATAAATCGCTTTGGATTAAAGCATCTGCTAAATACATCATTGTCAAATGTCAATGACAATGGGATGGTGTGTTGACCTGCTGTGATGAACTGTTGACTTATGAGTGAATGAAATCTTGGACCAGGACATCATAACAGTTTTTAAAGTACACCAGCATACATAGATGAGAAGCATTACATTACGTTCTATTGCTAGTTTGTAAAGAGTGATGGAAAATGTCGGCCTCCTCGACTTTAAAGACGGGATTTGTGCAAAATTTAGACTTTATAGAGGAAGTGCCCCAGTTTTCTGGTTTTAGAAGTTCTCTGTACATTTAGGAACCAACCTAACCCTTAACCACAAACTGTTGGTGTTGTGTAACATGTAGACCCTCAATTTACTAAACGAAGTAACTTTTTTTTTTGTTTTAATCCTCCTCCTATAGACAGCCGGAGAGTTCCCTGCAGCTGCCTAGCCTCTCACTGTATCAGCCGCCACCATGGTTGAACCAGCCGACAGACCGTCCACAGCTGGACAGCGACTCAGTGCACCTGACAGCTTTGGAGTGTCCACTCTGGAGCCAGGCCTTCGTCCTCCAGCTCAGACACCTGGGAGACAGGTGTCAATCCGGGTGCAGATGCTTGATGACACACAGGAAGTCTTCCAGATATCAGTAAGTCCTTTCTACAGTGGCTCCCGTTTGCTTGTGTTATGGCCTTTTAGCCCCCCATAAACACAGAGAGTTATTTTGACACATGGGATTTATCTATTTTTTAAATTGTAGTTGGAGACAAATGTTATTCTTGGATTAACATTGCCATAATTTCTCATTGCCTTTCGTTGGTTCTAGCTTTAGTGTGATTCCTAGTACAAGTTAATCTGTTAGAGTGTAACTTTTCTTTACTGTCTTTGCTTAGACATTTTGCCTTTTGAATTAAGTTTTGAGTCAATCACTAAAGGAAGTTTTCTAACTTTTGTAGAAATTGGGTTTGCATCAACTCAACAATTGTTTTTCTAATGCTGCTTAAGGCAATGGATTCTCTGAATTTCTGTGCTGCCCACAGACCTTTAATGACCTCGCTGCTGTGGTTCTCTGCAGTATGTCATGTCTGAGTAGGTTTGGTCCTTGGTTCTTTAGTGGCCTGTTGCATGTTTAACAGGGAGTTCGATTTTTCATTGTTTCATTGTTGGTGCCACTACATGCTTTCACACTACTGAAAAAATTAAAAAGCCGCACTATTACCAATATGATTTGGAAGGATTTTTGTCATGATGATGGAGAAGAGTTTTCTTCCGTCAGCTGCAGTGTCCAACACTTGCCAGCTCTGAGGAGCCATAATTGGCCCTTGTGAAAATGCCAAGAATGAATGTGGTCGTTTGTATTTGACTGCCTGAGGACGTGTCTGTGGCTGAGTGGACAGTTTGACAGAGTGCTGGGTCTGGTGTCAGTGGGAGGGATGGTCCTTTCTCTGTGTTGTGTGCCTTTGTATTTTTTTAAAATCCTAAATTCATGTTTACCTAAAATATAGTGGTCCTATAGAAAGCATCAGCTGCAGTTATGACACTTACTCATTGAGTACTCACTTACTCAAAACAAATACAAATTAAGTTGTAATTAAATAAATTGAGATCACTATACATATTTTATACACAAAGTATTTGTAAAAACAATATTTAATTAAAAAAAATTTCGTTGAACTTACTGAAACCAACCTACAGAACTCAAAGCACCCTGGAAATTTGCAGTGTTGCAAAAGTTTCAATCTACATTTGAATGTCTGGGTTTTTTATTAGAAATAAATCAGTGTAAGCCTTTTTTTGTTGCCACTTAAAAACAGCATGACAACTGTCTTACTAAGTGGGATTTACATCAACTTGTTTAAACAGGTTGATGGGGCCTAGAAGTAGTAGAGGAAGAACAACAGAGACCATTACAGTAAATCTCTTAATCCCTAAAAAGAAAACTAGCAAGAATCCTGCCCAGAATTGTAGTGTTAAAATCTACAGAACCTGGAGTCCTGCAAAGAGAAGGACAGTGAGGTCAGAGACCAGGATATAGATTACATCTGCTGACAATAAACAAGAGAAAAGCCTAAACCCCAACTCCATAACACACAGTTGAGCCATAGATAATGTTTAGATGAGTCAACTCATGGAACTCTTTGGTTAAAAGATGCTTCTGTATTCTCTTAAATCTCAGGCAAACATTAGAGAATCTTGGGTCTTGATAATTGATTTCTCTCAAAACATGGAATGGCCTTAAAAGACAAATGGAAATTGCTTAGGAAAAATTAACATTGTGTGTCAGAGACGCTGTCAATAATCGTCAGGTGAAGAAGTGGTGACGAGGCTAGGTGTAAAGTTAAGAAACTGAAAGGATTACAGCTACATTCACTACTTATTTTTGGCTGTGTCTATTGATTGTTTTTTGTTATATATATCGTATTTTTTGTAACTCATCTGTTATGCAAAAGTACATAGGTTGAAAAGACTATTGTTAATCATGATTGACTCACCTCATCATTCAAATTCCCTCCAGTGCATTGGCACAGGAGCAGACATGCACATGAATCAACAGACAAGCCTAGGATTACAGTGATGTTGGCACTGGTTTGGACATTTTGTACACTGCATGGGAGTCAAATGTCTTATCCTGAGCTTAACCTGAGAACAAGAGCATTAAATCAATCACTGACAACTGTGCTGGTGTGAAAATGACTAGATGTTCAGAAGATTAGAAAAAACAGAACAGACACATCTAGCCCATCGGTCAGGGACCAATCAAGAGCTGTGTTGTCTTGCAGTGCTGTATATCTCTAACAACCCAAAAGATGAAGCAACGTAGCGTCAGGGTTGGTAGGATTAGCATAATTTAGCCTAGCTGTCAGGACTGTCTATTATGGTAAGAAACCTCAAGACAAAACTTAATGTGTTTTGGAGAATTTGATTTCAGAATCACATATGAAGAAAATGCAGGTGTAGAGTTTTTGTTGTCAGTGATTGACTTCCCAACCTTTCAGCATGTTGTTGTTGTTAGAAGTGTACAGCTCATCAGAAGGATGGTGGAGCTTTGCACAATACAGAATATATACAGTGGCAGACGAGAGAAATGGTTACAAAACTGTTCAGTTTGCATTGACATCCTCAAATTAGTTTATTATTATATTATTGTATTATTTTATTGATTTTTCTTTTTCTATTTTGATTTTTTAAATGAAAAAGACGTGTTAATTTATTCTTCCAGAACACGTGTCTTTAATAAAGTTTGATTTCTGGAATGAAGGTGTCTAATTTGATATATCTTGTAAAACCAGCTCTAACCTCAGGCTGTAACTAAGGAATGTAACCCCTCCCACCAAATCCCAGATTCCCGTGAGTCAACTGTGTTTACAGCCCCAAATACCATTTAAATCTAATGCAGTTCTCTCTCTCTCTCTTTCTCTCTCTCTCTCTCTCTCTCTGGGTAATAGAATTACAGAAGCAGCCTGTTTCTAAACAGTGTCTCTGTCTGGGTGCTGAGAACCTGTACGTTGTTGTGTTGTGTGGCTCATTAATAACACATGAGCACGAGGAGGACATTAGTACACTGGCTGCATTAGTGACTTTTATAAGGACACACACACACACACACACACACACACACACACAGAGGCTTCATTATTAATCTGGAGTGGGAGCAGTATGGGGCTGCAGTTATCTCCCGTTCCCACCTGGTGAATAATTAAAGGTAGAGTGGTCTAGCTATGTGTGTGTGTGTGTGTGTGTGTGTGTGTGTTAGTCTAGGCTTTATCTTTCCTGTTGTGTGAGTGCCTGGTGAATAATGAGGTCCGTTACTCATTGACTTCACTGGGTCCCACACAAATTCAGTGTCAGTTAGGCCTTTCACTCTGCTCATTAGACAGACAGTCCTGCTTCCTGTCACTGGAAATGTCTGTAGACGTTATATAAGGAAATGTCTCTGTATTTCTTCCTGTGTCTAAGACATTCAACCCACACTGTTCTTGACCTTCAGGTTAAATTATACTTTATGCCATTTTCTACTGTATATCCTGCTAACACTGACGTCAAAAGACAAAAGGCCATATTTAAAGTTCAAGGTTATTATAGCAGGTTTTCAGACTTTTCTTTTTACATTTTCTGATGGTAAAATGTGCACGAATTAAATCAAACAAAAAACAATACATTATGGTTATTTTTATTGGGACACAGACAAGTTATCATACTGTCACCAGCAAGCATTATACACATTACAACATTTCCAGGTGCAAATATTTTTACTGTAAAAAGAAAACACAATAGATCACACTAGTGTGGCTGAAATGGTGTAGAACCACTTTTGAAATATAAAATAAAAATGGTAAGATCGTGACAAGCCCTAAAGGAAACTGACAATTGTATTTATTAGTTAGTTGAGGCATACCTAAACTCATGTTGCTAATAGGATTTATATTTTATTTGCAGTAATAAAGTAAGTAAACTGTACCCTGTTAGTGATTTATGTTTGAAAATACATTGTAGATTTATTGAAGGTCCACATGTGACTTATGTCTGTCTTTCCTCTGAAAGAGATTTATAACTAGATTTCTGGATTCACACATGCAATGGTTGCACAGTCCATACACATGTAGCAACTCTGCATCATGTGGATTTATGTGGCCCTGGTGAGCCCATATAAAAAGCATCAATGTGGGTTTGCTGCGTTGGGCAGGGTGAAGAATGAGGCCTGTTGGAGCTACTGTAGAGTGGAGAGGAGACAAAAGAAGAGAGAAAAGGAGACAAGGCATTAGGCTGAATAAGAGAGAGAGGAGAGGGAAGGAGAGGAGAAGTACAGAGGAGAGGACGGGAGAGATCGCCTCTGCCCTAGTGACACATTCAGCGAAAAGTTTAATTTCATGATACTTTGTCTGTGTTCTTATGTAAACATTTTATATCATGTTTCCCTCTGACTTACACATACAAAGTCAAATAAAGGGGATTCCAACCCACTTCCTCTGAGAAAACAGTTCAAGTAGGGGAAACCCTGAAGGATTCAACTGGAAACTCAACCATTTTCTGTCCAAAACCTCAAAATAAGCTGCTTCCTGTTGGGTTAAGGATGTGATTCCATGAGACCTTTTGCTGATCCTTAGCTGATAAACAAATCCACCAAATTGCACGCCTACAGATTTTTGGAGGTAGTATGAAGCTGTTTTTGTACGTCAATGAATCCCGAAACTATTTCCTAAAACTCTTTCTTAGCTATTATTTCTTCTGTAGTCAATATTGATTACAAAAGAGAACTTGACAATGATTGACCCTTTTCTTTTGTCACATCCTCCTCCTCCACCACCGCACAAGTACAGTATCATTTCCTGCCCTGGTGGCGTTCAGCACAAAGGCCTGTCTATTTTAAATGTCATCACTCCCACTTCCTGTGGACTGCAGTCTATTTACCTAGTGTGACAGAAGGACTCCAAAACAAAAAGAGGAGAGAGCTTATCAAAAACATGCACTGTTCAGCAGACTCCCTTCTTGGATGTTTCTGCTCTCATCCAACAGGAGAACATTTAACTGACTGCTGGAAATAGAGAGACATTACATAAAAACAAAGCAGGTCTCCACGCCCTGACCCACTGACAGGATGTTGTATTCACCTGGGTCAAGGTGTTAATTTCTAAACTTCTGTTCCTGTTT